TCCCAGCTGGACCCAGGACAGAGGAGTAGACAAAGACTATTTAAGATTTTTCGAGGGCAGTCCCATGTAACTGTAACAACTCATTGAATTTATTCTGTAGTTTACTTTCCTGTCTTTAAAACTAAGAATACATAGCCTCTACCTCACAGGTACGTTGTAACTATAAAACTCATTAATAATTTTAATTAGAGCCGTATAGATACGTACATACTTATTTGTAGATAGAGGGTGAAATGTTGACTGTTTGATTTATCTATACTGCCTGTGCCCCCAGATATCTAAGGCATACATCTTCAGGAAATTAGAGGTAATAACTGAAATCTTACATGTCTGGGAGAAGGAAGATCCTTTGTGCAGAAGAGTGGTGACACTACAGTATAAAAGTGTCTTTAGTATGTTGTACAGCTGGAATGCCTAGCTTTTTTCAAGAGCAGTTTGTAGAACAAGTCGTGAAATAGTAGCGGTTGGGGTAGTAGACATTTTTTGTAACAGACTGTCTCTCCTTGTGTAGACACTGCTGCTGTGGCAGCTACAATCTGTTTCCTGTTGGATTTGTAACTCAGTTCGTTATGTGATTTTAAGGTAAAATATGAAGAAAAGCAGCAGTGAGGCTGCAGTTCCAGCATAGTAATGTTTTAATTGCATGGTATTCATCAATGAATCACATAGACATTTCCTCTTTGTACAAATAACTTCCCTTATTTACATATGGATGTAGGTGCTGAATATTTGGCCATACATGATCTAGACAGGGTTTTCCAGTCATATGGACTCAAAGATAAGGATAATGGAATGTCTGACTTTTTCTCAATTTATTATAACTGTAGTCACACTGTCATCACTTTCTGACCTATATCCTCTGCTGTTACTATGTACTTGTGTTCTTCCGAATAGGTTCCGTTGCAGTGGCTTTAAGCAAAATAATAATAAAAGTAGGATGATTCATTCAGTGATGCTTGCTTATATGTGTTAATTTTTAAAAAATATTTAGTTGTAGATTTAAATACTGTACTCAGGGTTTGTACCCTTTCATTTACTATTTTATTTAGTGACTCATTTGCTCTTTTACTTAATGCCTTAATCAGAAGTATGTTTTCTTGAGTTGCTATAAATCTTGTAGGGTGGTATTTGGGGCCTGTTTGTACTTAACATTTGTTTGGAATCTTGGTTTTTAGTATCATTTTTAATCACAGTAGTATTGTTACACATTTACTTGTCATGCTTTCAATTTTCCAGTTTGGAAATGCTGGACAAAGTAGAGCCTCCTACGATTCCTGAAGGCTATGCCATGTCGGTGGCGTTTCACTGTTTAATGGATCTTGTTCGTGGTATCACTACCATGATTGAAGGAGAGCTGGGAGAGGCAGAAACAGTCAGTCAAACCACGACAGAGACAACTTCATTCCCAGCACAGTCTTCAGACCAGCAAGACTTGCAGTCTGTATCTGACCAATCAGAGAAAGAACTAGGTATTTGAAAATGCAAACACTATGTAAAATACAGCATTTTTGCATAGAGCAGGATTGAAATAGTTCATGCTTTATTTCTTAAATGTATTGTTCTAAATCATATTGTTGTAGTTTGACCTGGCTGGCAGCCAGACACCATGGAGCTGCAGTCTCACCCTCCTCCCTGCTGGAGATGAGGGAGAGAATTAAAGGGGTAACGGGAGAAGAGACTCCTGGGTTCAGATAAGAGCAATTTAATAACTACAATAAAAGGGAAAATAATAATGATAATAATAATAGTATGAGTGATACATAGTAAACTGCTCACCACCCAGTGAGCAAGGGTCAGCCCGTTCCCAGCTAATGATCCTGGATCAGAGAGAGTCCTGTAACCGCAATCCTGGAAAAGAGATAAGAGCCCGAGCATCCAAAAGAGCAAGAGATGACCCTGGGAGAGTAGGGAGACCCTAAGACAGAGACAATCCCGAGCGAGAACTTCCAGATAGCCCCGCCTAATATACTGGGCATGATGTGCATGGTGTGGAATATATAATTGGCCAATTTGGGTCTCAATCCTAAACTTAACATTGAATCCTAAGCCAGTAATTGTGGGCTGTGCTCCCTCACAGCTTCTCCTGCACCTTCAGACACTGGCACAGCAGAGAAGCTGAAAAGTCCTTGACTGTCCTGGCAGCAACTATAAACATCAGTATGTTATCACCCTTCTCAGCACAAATCCAAAACAGAGGCTCTTACTAGCTACTAGGGAGAAAGTTATCTCTGTCCCAGCTGAAACCAGGACAGGTATATAAAAACTTGATTTAATCAAGTGGGTTTTTGGTTTTTGTTTTTATTTTTGTAACAGAATTGCAGTAGTCTCTTAAAAATAAAAAAAATACTTGATGTACTGCTTCTGTCCTATAGCATGTTAGCCATAGACTCCTTGTGGTGTGTTAATATTGGTTTACATGTATTTATGTGGGATGCGAGGGAGAGATAACAGGTGTTCTCTTCTCCAGAACTACTATTTTGCCTTCCTATGACCTTACTTCTGCTTAACACTGAGATCCAAGGTCACAAGAGACAACCTGACAGAGAAATATGACAGTTACAACCACATTAAAAGAAAAATGTATTTCTCGTGAGAAGATAAAGAGATGAATGCTTTAATGCAGAGATTTTAAATAAGATGGAAGTAGTTAGGGAAGAACTTCTTTAAAAGCAGAAGTAATAGGAACTGAGATTTCTATTAGTGCAACATAGGAGGAGTCTGTACATGTAAGTGCGGAAAGACTTGGCTCTCAATTGTGATTTTGGCTCGTGTACCAGGTAGCAGAGACCATAGTGCTTAGGTTTGTGCCGGGAGAGGACGGGGCTTTGTCCTGCCCTCTGCCCCTGGCCGCGGGGGTGCAGAGCTCTCCATGGTGCTGCAGGGGACGCCGTCTGAGCCCAGGGTCTCGGCAAGGCGTGGTACAGGGGGGGAGGTGTGGAAATGACACGGGCAGATTATAGGTCTCTTAGAGCTGTATTTTTCTCCTATTAAATGAAAGAAATTGAAAAAAAATGAATTATAAATACCAGGGGAGCCTATTTTTCCTTCAGTTCAGAATTTCAGTGAGTTTCTTGTCCCGCATTTATGCACTTCTGAATGTTCATTCTTACAGACAAAGATTACAAATAGTTATATATACCTTTGTAAGATTTTTTTGGTGTAATTTAAAATAAGCTTTGCTTTCTCTAAAGCATTGCTTGGGTGACATTTTTTACTTTAGCAATGTTACTTTAAATGCAACTCTTTAAATAGTACTTTAAATGGTACTGGTGTGTGTGTTTTTTGTATACATGTATATGTGTGTGTAAACATACATATAAAAACACACTTTAAAAGGTGCAGTAGCAAGCTTGTGATATGCTTGAAATTGTGATATGATTGAAAGTTATTAAGTAAAATATTGTGTTTCTGCTATAAACAAGTATATGTGTTTGAAGTTAGCAGAGCTGTCTGGGAAGAAATGGTGAACGCTTGTTGGTGTGGTCTCCTGGCTGCTTTATCCCTCCTACTTGATGCAAGGTATTTGGTCTTTCATTTCTCTTGATTTTTCAAATATTACATTCCCAGCTTTATTTTGAACTGACTTTTGATACCAATCGAGTTGACAGTTGTATGAGAGAGCACTGTTCATGGCACCTGAGCAGACAGGTTTGTGGGTTAGTGATAGTTAGGTGAGTAAGGCATCTGTTAAGAGTAAACAACACAGAAGTATCCAGTAGTCTAGCATCAAGCTTTAATGCATTTCAATATAGAACAATTAATTACATTTTAAAAGGCTTGCATTTTAACTATTTAAATAATTTTTATTTCTTTTTACTTTGACTGAATATTTCAACACATTGAAGTGATTCTACCCATGTCCTGATTACTGTTGATAAGAGACTGAATAATGTCTTGGTACTTCTTAATACTACGCAGCCTTTGAAGTAGAAAAGCTGTTTAGTGGGTAATAACTTGGGTAACTTAATTGTCTCTTTCAAAGAGTATTTTGTTATCAAATACCATTTTCTGAAATTAGTGTTAAAGGCCTCGTCATAGTCTCATTTGCCAAGTCATTGAGAACTAAAGACCAATTTTATAGGAAATGATTCTGAAGAATTTGGTGGTTGGTTATACTTGCTTTTCTTATTTATAGTGTTGACAAGTTTAAAGTATATGTTCTCATTGCTTTCAGTTTTGGTTAGCTGCCTGCTTCTGTGCCGTGGATTATTCTTGGTAAATGATGTGTACTCTTTCAGCACTGATGAAGCTGCCACTGAAAATATTCTAAAAGCAGAATTGACCATGGCTGCACTTTGTGGAAGACTGGGTCTTGTAACATCAAGAGATGCCTTTATCACTGCCATTTGCAAAGGATCCTTGCCTCCTCACTATGCCCTTACTGTGTTAAACAGCACAACTGCAGCTCTGTCCAGCAAATGTAAGTACATAGGTTTTCTTTAATTGTGTTTCCATGTGTTGTCCTCCCAGATTTTCTCAGATTGTGATTGTAAAGATATGCTGCTATAGTATTTGGCTATAATAAATTATGTTAGAATACTCAGGGTCTAGACCACCTGTTTTCCAGAACTGGCTAGCCTTGTAGCATCTGCTGGGTATCATTGTAGTTAACCTAAAACTTCCTCAATGCTTAGCATATGTCAGAAGTTCATATTCTAAGGAGATCTGTCTCTCATCCTAAAGATCAGTTAGGATTTGTAATTAAGGCATTCAAATTCTGAAAAGGTCTCTAGGTGACTCAGATACTTAAGAGGTGGCTAGAACATCCTTCATTTGTGGTGTGCTACAGTCTTTTCTAGAGTTGTCTAGTGATGTTAGTACTTAGTACATAAACGGAAGATCTTAGGTTCTGTGCTCTGTTCAGCTTACAAGAAGTTGAACTGATGCTTCTCACATCCTGAGAGAACGTTGTAATTTGTGGATATGCCAGTTGAGGATGTACTCTGTTTCTGATTTTGAAAATGAATTATGTTCCGAGAAATACAACCACCTGGTAAATATGCAGATGGATCTAATATTAGAAGTCTTAATATAAAACAGAAATACCTTAGTCTGGGAACAAAGTCCAGCGCCTTTACGCCAGCCCACAAGCTAAGTGCATTGTTAGATCATATGTTTGTGACTGAGCTACATGAAACTCTATGGAAATGAAGCAGTGAACTTAAGTTAGTTTGTATAGGTTACTCCTCTTTTTACGGAGTTATGAAACAGGTGTCCTGAAGCCCTGTATTGGAAAAACATCATGACATAGCATTTATGACACCTTTGTTTTGCAAGTGCACTAGTACAATGATAGCACACAGGGATAGCATTTACACAAATTACCATAGAGAACTGAGTTGAGACATAGTCTAATGCTCATATTTTAGCATAAATATTTCAGTCTCGATATAAAATGTATTAATTTATTGCAAGCAATATCTAACAGTTGGTGAGAGGGAGTAATTACTGGCTCCTTTAAGGCAATGACATAATAATCAAAATATAACTGAAGGTCCCAAAGTGAGCTACCTTAAAGCTAATACTGTGAAAAAATTATCTGGAGTGTGTTTGCCAGGAGATGATTGATCCTACAAGTAAGTACTGGATTTTAAATTTAGATTTTTTTTGTTTAAATTTTCCTCTAGCATATTCCATCCAGGGACAGAATGTTCAAATGATCAGTCCCTCAAGTGAGTCTCATCAGCAAGTTGTAGCAGTAGGGCAACCCTTAGCTCTTCAGCCACAGGGAACAGTAATGGTAAGTACATCTTGTAAGTGATCTCATCTTGCTTAACTGCTTCTTTCCACATCTCAGTGTGTCTCAAAAATAGGCAACAGATAAACAGTATTCTTACAAATAATGGTCATCTGAAATATTATCCTGGGCTTTTCATTTGGAACAGCCCTGGACAATGAAGTTCTCTAACTGTAAAGAAGACTTATTCTTTTTTTTTATCTGACTCTTAGCTCAGTAGCTCCCATCCGTTCCATTTGAAAAACCTCAGGTCTCAGATCTGTTACGTGCCTGGGTGTGAAGGTTCACTTATGGTTTTTTTAAGATAGACTTTGATTTTTTGGAGAAGATGCACTTAAAACTGGAGTGCTTGACCTTGTGTCTTTGATAATTATGTGAAACTGGGAGGAGAGGGCAGTGATCAACTTGTATTGAACCCCAGCAAGATAAGACTGAGAGAAGGAGAGATACTGAGCAACTACTCTAAAAAAGATACATTGCTCCACTGCAAACAAAATGTAATCTTTACTCTATTTGGTAAAAAATGTGCAAGTTTCCTAGAAACACTATTACTGTAGGATAATAAAAATTGTGTGGTCGTTTTGTTGGATTTTTTTAGCTGACTTCAAAAAATATCCAGTGTATGAGGACATTACTCAACTTAGCTCACTGCCATGGAGCTGTTCTCGGTACGTCGTGGCAACTTGTCCTGGCCACTCTTCAGGTATAACAGGAAATATTTATGCCTTGCTTTTATGCCTTACTTTTTTGCCATAATTTGATTTTCAGTTTTTGTGTGAGCAATAGAAGAAGCTTTGATTCTACTCATGGTGTACTTTGAATTGCCTTGAGTAAGTACTGTATCATTTACCTTGAATTCTGTTTGGCTAGAAGGCTGATGGCTAGCTCGAGTACAATGTTAATTTCATCTCTGCCTGGAAAGCTTTTGCTGAAAATGATTCTTCTGTATTTCAGCATCTTGTGTGGATTCTGGGACTGAAGCCTGGTGTTGGGGGTGCATTAAAACCCGGAAGAGCTGTAGAAGGGCCCAGCACAGTAAGTGTGATTGTTCGTTTTACAGTTTATGATTACACAGTATTTTCTATTGCAATCTATGACACATTTCTGTCCCTTTTTTAAGGTTCTGACTACAGCAGTTATGACTGACCTGCCGGTTATATCCAACATACTTTCAAGGCTTTTTGAAAGCTCACAGTAAGAAACCTTATCTTATAATTAAAATAATGTGTGTATATCAAACTTGGTGGTGTTTTAATGGATATTATTTTTCAGGTACCTTGACGATGTGTCTTTACATCACTTAATAAATGCCCTTTGCTCATTGTCTCTGGAAGCCATGGATATGGCCTATGGAAACAATAAGGTATAAAGAGAGTTCTTTGTTTTCTTTTTAGATGTTTTGTGAAACAGGCAGAAGACTTGCATATTTATCCTTTAGCTGACTGCTTCTAATATTAAAACAGCGATACATTTGATACTCCACAGTAAAAAATAAATTATGAACTAGAGAATGTCTTGTTTATAATGGTTCATACAGTTACTGAATTCTCTGAGCATTCTCTTTGTGTTCCTGCTTTGTTTTTTGTTAACTAAGGAATGCCATGTGTTTCCATTAGTCAGATTGTGGTGGATAAAACTTTTAAAAGCCCTTGTAATTTCAGAGGTTAGAAATTCTGAATAGCACAGTGTGTTCTGTGAGGTGCTTATTTTAATTCCACTTTTATTTTATAATATACTTCAGGAAAAGTCTGACAATTTAGATATTAAAAAAAAAAACCCTGATAATTCGTATTTACTTGGGAAAATTATAGTATCCCTGTCAGCCTTGGTAAACAACCTTTAGCCCAGAAAGGTTAAAGACCCTGTGACTGAGTAGGATTGAGAATATATTCTCTGAGTCATAATCTAATCCCAGGGGAGAGTTTCTGAAAGTTTTTCCTTGATCTATTATGCTAAAGATAATGATGACAGAAAATATGCTTTATAATATTTGACAATTACAGCAACAGAGAATGAATTAAAATAAGCAGAGGTGGTTTTTTTTTTAAAGTCAGTTGAAAATGAAAATAAGAAATCAGCAGAACTGGGAACAGAGAATAATTCCTGTGCAACAGTAATTTTGACTAGATGTTGATTTAAAAAAAAAATAAAAGAAGCTTATCACAAATATCTGCATATGTATTTGGTGAATGGGAAGCTTATCTTATTCCTGCAGGGCATTTACGAAGCTGATGGAAGACAAACCATAAGAGGATTCTTAAATAAAATATTCTGTAGTGTTTGTTCATATATAATTTTAACTTTAAAAGATGTGATGGGAAAAAGGCTATTTTGCTAGTAAAATCTGGTTTGCTATGAATCTGGTTGGAGGGAGGCCTATGTAAAAATGAGAGTTTTGAAAGGGATATCAGTGCTTGGAGGAAACTATGTGAAAAATTATGAAAGCAGTATTCTTCATGGTATGCTGTTGCTACCCCCTTGTGGCTTCTCATGAAGTACTGCAGATGCTGTGGAAACTTCTAAGCCGTGTACCTAAACTGTTGTGACACCCTTCACAGCCTACGAAACACAGTACTTCAGTGAGATTAGTTGCACCTTAATTTATAAAGTATAGTGTAGCAAAAGTCTCTGACATTATCTGTGTTACCTCAAAGTCATGTGTTCAAATTCTGTTTTATTAAGGAACCATCGCTTTTTGCTGTTGCTAAATTACTGGAAACAGGGCTAGTTAACATGCACAGGATTGAGATTCTTTGGAGACCTCTGACCGGTCATCTTCTGGAGGTAACTAATTGCTTTTGTCAGTTGTACTAGATCTCAGTTTGTATTAGTAAAGATCATTAAAAAAAAAATTTTAAAGTGTAATTTTTCAAAGAAATCTAAACTGTATTTACATGTTTTGGTTTATGCTCTTTGTTTTTGCAACTTGAATGCATCACAATTTGAATTTAAAAGAGAATTTGTATATTTAAATTCCAGTATTTTAATATCTTATTATTATTATCTTATCTTATTGTGCCATCACTCTTTGTATATTTAAACACAGCAACGTTTAAATTTTTCAGTTTATTATCATTCATATATGTGTTATAATTAAGGTAACATAAACAGGTTTCACTTTGGATTTACGTAGTACAAATATATAGGAAGAATTTAAGATATGTTTTTGTGTCCTTACCAAATAAATTGAAGCCATTACATTTATTGACAAAGGGTTGGTTTGTTTTTAAAGTGTTTATGCTAACATTTTGAATGGTGTCATTAAGAGACTACTGTACAAATATAAAAATAAGTGTAATAATCCTATTTCAGTTTCTTAAGTATTTTAACTTAAACATGAAAAATACACTCAATCAAGTAAAAAAAAAAATTACAATTTTGTTTGAAACTAAAAACAGGTGATGGAATGTAATTGTAAAGTTTTAATTCTCTGTACAGACATGTACAAGGATGAAATGCAAGAACAGGGTTAGATTTAAAGTGGGTAAAGGAGAAGGTTTTTCTTCCTCATTTTCCTGAAATTATCAGAAACTTCCTTAGAACCAGTGCATTATTTCAAACAGAATTAGGGATTGTCCATCTCTAACCTGACTTACAGAGATCATCTCCACATAATCTTTTATCTATGAGAAGAAATTTGTATGCTTAGAGGTGTAGAGACTTAAGACATAGGCATCTTTCCCTTGTCTTTTTTTCGCCCCCCAAGACAATATTCACCGTCCACATCTTGAGACTGTGTTTCTACCTAGTAAGCAGGCAGTTTCATTCTGTTATCTATTGTGGGTATTAGCCACTGTTTTGTAGGAAATACACATTCTGTTTCAATTTCTTTTAAAGTACTGTCTTTTTCCTTTTAAACTTAAGTCATCAAGGTACAATAGGGAAGGAGAAAACACCAAAACACCACCTGCAGATTCAATTAAACACAACCTGAGGGAAGAATTTATTCCTCTCTCTGGAACTGATTATCTGGTCACATTCAGAGCATTATGAAGTAGTTCAAATTCCCTTTTTTTTTTTTTTTTTTTTTTTTATCTAAGATAACAAAAATAAAGTCCTTCAGGAGAGTAGCTGTTTCTTGTCTACATTTTTAACAGTAAGCTAGCCGTTCTGCATCATCCTTCTTTTCAGTTTGGCTAGTGGCTGATAGTTGAATGGTCCACCAACGAAAACCATCAGCCTTCCTTATGATCCTGCCTTGGACTTTGATTCTGGATTCTTACACTATCTGAGCTAGGACTGGAAGGGAAATAATTATCATAGAATGGTTTGGGTTGGAAGGGACCTCAAAGATCATCTAATTCCAACCCCCTGCCATGGGCAGGGACACCCTCCACTAGACCAGGTTGTTCAAAGTCTCATCCAGCCTGGCCTTGAACACCTCCAGGGATGGGGCATCCACGACTTCTCTGGGCAACCTGTTCCAGTGACTCACCACCCTCACAGTGAAAAATTTCTTCCTAATATCTAATCTAAGTCTACCTTCTTTCAGCTTAACACTGTTACCCCTTGTCCTATTGCTACGCTCCTGGATAAAGAGTGCCTCCCCATCTCTCCTGTAGGCCCCCTTTAAGTACTGGAAGGCTGCTGTAAGGTCTCCCTGGAGCCTTCTTTTCTCTAGGCTGAAAAGCTACAAATCTTCCAGCCTGTCCTTGTATGGGAGGTGCCCCAGCCCTCTGAATGTAGAGGTCAATGAAACTGTAGACTTACCTTATTTGTTTGAGGGTTTGGAAGTACAGTTCATAATAGGTATCTATGCAATGGATTTGCGCAATATTTTTAATTTTTCTGTTCTAAAGAAACAATTAGCAAAACTATTAGGTTTAGATAATTAGGAGACAGAAATGAAGACGTGCATTTGAAACTTAAGCTTGAAATAGTGTTCGCTATTGTTTTGTGAAGTTTTTGATACAATGGAGTGTAAAGCTTATTTTACATTCACTATGTAGTTACTTTTTGTATTTGAGAATATAGGACAGCAGACACTTTCTATGTTGGCTACTGTCATGCTTCTTCACTTGATTATGTTAAGCAGTGCATGAAAGATGAAACTTTTAATTTTGTAGTAGCTTGAGACTAAGTTAAACCTGAGAGTTTCAGGCATTAATTCAAGAGTTGTTTGGTGCTTTTTAGTAAATCATTATCTGAATTAGCAGTTAGTATATTCATTTTGGAAAATGTATTGGCTTGAACTGCTGTGGTTTTCATTATGTTTCCTTCTGTGTCTTTCACTGCTTCCTTTTGCTTCCTTATTCAGAAGGTATGTCTGTCCAAATTATAAAATTTTTTTTGCTATTAAACCTAATTTTATCATGTAGAGATTTATTGTATTGTTGTTAAAAAAATATAATATTGTACTCAAATTCTAATATAATTGAAATACCTATTTTTTATATATTACCTGTGTTCAAATCTTGATTAAATAGAAGTGACTTTAAACAAAACATTGCTGTGTTTTCAGGTCTGTCAGCATCCAAACTCCAGAATGAGAGAATGGGGAGCAGAAGCTTTAACTTCTCTCATTAAAGCAGGACTGACGTTTAGTCATGATCCTCCACTATCTCAAAATCAGGTAAAGTGAGTTTAAGAGCAGTTGCTTTGCTCCTCTTCTGGAGCTTAAAATGAACATGAAATCAAAATCTTCCCTAGAGGAAGTTTTCTACAGTTCAATAAATAGTAGGCATTCAAAGCAACTTTACTATTGAGTTTATAAAGCCTTGCAGCTGTAACATTCAGATGTAACTATTGAGAATCACCTCATGCATTCTAATGAACTATCCTCCTTCCTTTTTCAAATGCATAGCAAAGAGTGGTGATGCTTGCATATTATGTCTGTTTGTTACAACAAATTATGGATCAACCTCATGAGTGCAAAACAGTTCCAGAATGTTTAGAAGTATATACCTGATGTGGTGACTGGTAAAAAATAAATTGCCTAACCTTCTAAATCACAGCTATTCAATCCATTATTAATAAAATAGTACTGAGGTTCACTGGATAGTATTTTCAAGGTCTCTTTAGTTGGAAGCTGAATCTAGCCCTGCTGGGTGAGCGTAAAGTTGTGTGATGGTTTTTATGCAACTGTGACAGCATGCTGTAGCTACTTCCTGAGGTACCTGCAAAACAGGTGGGGGGAAGAA